ATGGTGTGAGGGAGAGAGAAAAAGAGAGGGTGACCGACTCTTTATTTTAGTTGCAGAGTTGCAATAAAAATGCCCAAGCATTGGTTAATACAATAAGGTCAATTTATTTATAGATCCTAATTCCCTTGATAATTAATAATAATAAAAAATTTGAAAGTTGGATAAGAGATGTTATCTCCACCTTACATTGCCACCCCACGTGGATTGCATGTCACTAAGGCTTGCGGGCAATTATGTTCACATTAGACTACATGTTGTGAGGGTGGTCCACTCTGGCCAAATAATAATATGCCCATGAGAAAATGTGATCATGGCGCCCTCGGTTGATTTGATCCTTGATAAAAATAAAAATAAAATAAAATAATCTGCAAAGAAAGAATGATCCCAACTTCGTGTGATACCGATTATAACAATTCCTAATGGATGGTGTAATATTTCTTGTACTTGTACTTCGAGTTTTTTCTTTAGTTCATTCATTTTTTGATTGACTGATTAGTAAGGAATTTGCTTAATTTAATTCAAGAATGGAAGTATAGAGGTTTATCTATACTATATTTTAGGGGTGGGCACAGTTCGGTTTGGACCGGTTTTTGCCTCAAATTAGAACCGATCCGGTACTATTTATCCAGTTCGATTTTAATAAAAAAAATTTCAAAAACTATCCGGTTCAAGTTGAACCTATTTCGATCCGGTTTTGGTTTTGAACTGGATTATAAAAATTATTTTTTAATACAATTTTCAACTGAAATTTTATTTTTTGACTTGAAAATTAACAAATTATTCAATTTCATATAAAATAAATATTAAAGCTAGAAAAGATAGATATTTTGAAATTGAACTTGGATAAATATTAGTTATGAGATTAAAAATATAGCATTGAATATAAATAAATAATGAAATTATATCTTTTTTAATTTGACCAGTTCGGTTTGGCCCGGTCCAATTTTTGAAGACATAGAATCGGAACCAAAACCGGTCCAAACCAATCCAGTGTGATTTTTGACTAGTTGTTGACTTTTTGGTTAACTCGGTTTTTTTCCGATTTGGTTCGGTGCAGTTCGGCTTGGATTTCCGGTTCGCCGGTTTGAATGCCCACCCCTACTATATTTAAGAGAATCCTCTTCGTTAATTAACCAGGATGAATTTTTATAATATTTTTAATAGATTATTATAAATAAACCCAATCCTAGACATGTATTTATAAAAAAACCCAAACACTATTTAAACATAGAAACACACCCAAAATCAACCCCAAAATCAACAATTATATATTTTTTGGGTGTGTTTATAAATGGGTTTTGAGTGTGTGTAATGATGGGTTTTGGGTGTGTTTATAAAGTGTTTTGGGTGTTGGGTTTTTTTATAATTTCAGACCCCATTTTGGGTGTTTTAGTGAAACTCCCTATTTTTAATAGCTAAGGTAAGGTTGATATAGAGTATGATCTCGTGTTGGCCCCAATCCCATCTAAAGATAACTCATATCTTCCACCATATAGCTCATGGTTTTGAACAATATTTATAAAAGAATATGAAACTAGCGATCAACATTTGGCCTGTAGTGAATGGGCCGAAGTGGGTAGCTCGATGACCCAAAGTCTGTTACGGCCCGTTGTTTAGGCTCGTTCGGTCCAGTTTGCTCTTCAATTGGATAAGGCATGGGCGTAGGATTTGAAACCCTCAGTTCGCTCATAGCCCGGCCCGCGTAGGCCTGTTTAGGCTATATTTTTTTAAAAACTTAATTGATGCACTCGCTAACCTCAGTTTAGACTTAATTGAAATAATATAATATGTAAATTTCACACATTTATGAATAAACTGAATATTTCATTGATAGAAATTTAAAGTGAATTTTACACATTTATGAATTAAGTTAATTTTTTTTTAATATTGTCTAAAAATTTGTAACAAAAACTTAAAAGCCATAACAGAAACTCCACATCCAAATCCAACTACTTGATGTGAGTTAAAAAAAGGCATAGCCCATCTAGGCCTATGTTCGGCCCTGCCCACCTAGGCTTGGCCCAGTGGGTGATCTTGGGCTTAGACATTTGAAATCTTGGTTAGGCCCAACCCAGACTGAAAAGGCCAAATTGAGTTGGTGACTTGTGCCTTGTGTGTTGAGTGGCCCAAAAACGAACCCTAGACGAGCTGATGGTCGGAGCTGGGTGGGCAACCAGAGAAATGGTTGATGTTGTGGGGAGGGTTGCTATCTAAATCTATCTACTAGTAGTATTAGAATTTCCTATTTCGTTTATGAGAGGGTCTAGTCTAGGTCAACCATATGCCAAAGATGTGGACTCGAAACTTACAAAAATAAGTTTACGTAAAAGTTTTAAACCAGAGAAATCAGCACAGCTTTAATTCCACAATCACAATACAACCCAAAAAGATTCTTGTTCCTTTGTTTTTTTGAGGATTTTTAGGGCGTTAAACCCTCGGTTGATTACCCGCTGAAGGACTTTTTTCAATCTGGTCATTATGAAAGCTTGAGAAGAATTGATTTGGTGAGAAAAGCAGCTGGAGAGGCAGTTTGAAATGTGAAAGAGAGAGTTATTTTTATGTTCTTGAGCAGATTGTGGGAGGCAGGGGTCTCCTCTGCCTGCCCCTTTTGTTCTGACGACAACCTCCGCCCATCCCTCTCCCGTTTCCCAGAAATATCATCTGATCATACCTTCTTTTCTGACATTTGAAAAAGAAAGCTTATGACTCTGCGAGGCAAGAGAGAGGTATAATTTAAGGGAGGAGGTCTTGGTCGTGGTCGCGGGGTGTTGCCTAGGAAGAAGAAAAATAAAGTCTATTTAACCCCAATGCAATTGATATTAAAAATTAATATTGTTAACCCGATCAGCTCGACCCGCTTAAGATTCAATTGGGCTTGAGATTGAAACCTTAGGCCAGCCTATGACCCAGCTTGTTTGAGCCCGTCTAGAACCAACCCAACTCGCTCTTAAATAAAATAAATAATAAATATAACAATACAGTTCATCAAATGGTGTAGAAACATGTCCATCCCACCGAAAAATAAAGCAAATGAGCCCGTTGGACTTCAACCCAATATTGTATTTAATATTAAAGTAGGCTAATGAAATACTAAAGCATAATGCAAGAAAAAGCGAGGAGGAACGCAATGAAGAATTGAAAAATATAAGATTAAGAAGATCGGGTTTTATGGTTGAAAGCGAAGGCGAAACCACATCATTGATAATTGGAGATTGAAGATCATTTATAATAAATTATTATTTTTTATTTTATTTTATACCTTAAGATTGTAAAGTACAAGTGATTGATAAGTGTGTAGGTGTCAATCTAGTTGTAATGTACACATCTTATAGTGATGCACTCCCTAACCTTATTTTAAACTTAAGTGTAGGGAGGAAGAGCCATTTTATTTGACGACGGAAATTCCCAATTTTCCTCAAATTGTACACGGCAGAGAATGACACTGTCCAAAATGGGAATTTACTGAATATTTCATTTTTGTTGATAGAAATTTAAAGTGAATTTTAAAAGAGAAAAACAAACACTACCCTCAAAATTAGTAAAGGCCAAAATATGACCATCATATACACAAGAAGCTCCATGAATATAACATAGCTTACAAGCCAATATTAGTATCAACAAGAACAATTAAAAGAACGACAGGTTTTGTTGACATAAATTCCAACTTTTTTTTATTTTATGAAAACATAGTTATATATATCTTCCTAACAACCTCCACCTCCAAAACCGCCACCTCCAAAATTACTACCTCCACCGCCACCTGAAAAACTGCTACTAGCAGCAGCATCTGCTGCACTATGGTGTGCAGCATGGTGTGCAGCATGGTGTGCAGGGTGTGCAGCATGGTGTGCAGGGTGTGCAGCATGGTGTGCAGCAAAGCCACGGCCACGGCCACCGCCTCCGTCTCTTTTCTTGCTTGATCCTTCATCATCACCACAAGCAAATATGACCATTGATATAAGTGAGAGAGACATAAGAATCATGCAGAGCAAAAGTATCCCCCCCGAGTTGTCTTGAATGATGCCTAGTTCCTCTGCGTGGCCACCACCTAGAACAACATATGCTCCTCTAGCCATTTTTTCGATGAGTTACAAGATTAGCTAACTGTTCGTTAATCCAAGCATATATATATATATATATAATGTAATGTCAACAAATGCCGTGTGCAATTCAAAGTCCTACAATTCAAAGTATTCGGTTGATGAATCTAGCTGTGGAAAATTCGTGAAAACTTCATAGAAGCTTCTTTCTTCACAACCTGATGTTGAAAGGCTTGAAGAGACAGACAGAAACTTGCGGAAATTTTCAAAGAGAAAGGGATAAGCTAGCTAGATGCAATAATTGCTGCAAGCCTTATGTTTTGCTTCGAAAATCAAATTGTTAAATGCTAAGAAGATCAGATGTGAGATTTTGTTTGTCTCTTCCTTAATTGTGTACAAGAAAAATACTTACGTCCATGCCAGATTCCATCTCCACCCCATTGACATTGACCAATGATATTTTTGTACATGTCTTTTCTTTTTAATTTTTGGGTTTTTATCACAATGGTCGACCTAAGGTTGGCGAAATTATCACATTTGATCCTTTATGTTTTTTTGACATTATTAGTCATTTATCAATTTGGTCATGCTATAGCTATTAGGTTCTATCAAAATTTCTTTTAAATTGCTGACGTGGCACATATGTGATGCCACATATTCAATGAGATAATCACACATGGCTTTAAATAAAATATAATGATATATTTTAAATAGTTTAAAACTTCAAATCCTTTTATAAAAAAAGAAAATTAAGTCTTTTTATAAATAAAAAAGATTAAAACAGAAACAAAAACAAATTTTCTAGCCATTTTTCCAATCTATGTGTTAAAAGATTATCTATATGACCTTCATGCTATTTTAATTTCTTTATATTATCATGTGCACAAATGCCGCGTTACAAGAATTGATGACTTGAAACTTTCTTTTATTTTTCTTTAAGTCGTACCATTCAAATTACTTGGTTGACTATTCTGGTTGTCTAGAATTGATCAAGTCTTGGAAATTTCAACTACTTAGAATAATTTTTCTTTTCCTTTAAACCCTATTCTGGTTGACTATTCTGTGACACCACTAGATGGTATCACATGATTTGTGTGCAGCTTAATAAATTGAACAGGCTTATTAGCAATCTAACTTTATCCCCTTTAGCAGGAAGACAACCAATCTAACTTTATCCCCTTCAGGACATTGCAAAACCTCAAAAACTCGTTCCATATCGATGAGCCAAGCCTCGGCTTCCATAGGATCAGAGCTACCATAGAACTCTTTGGCTCCCAACTCTTTAACTCTCCTGATGTCAGAACCTTCCGTATCCCGTCTCCCTTGCATGGCTCTAGCCATAGTTTGGGCGAACTGATTGGTGAACTGATTGGTGAACTGTTTGATTACTTGTTGCAAATCCAGCATATTCTCTCCAGCTTGCTCTCCAGCAGGTGGTGGAGATGGTGGAGGTGGAGGTGAAGGTGGTGGTGGTGGAGAGGGTGGTGGAGATGGAGGTGGAGGATTTGGTCCATATCTTTGAACGCGCCACGACCTCTCGTCCTGGCACCATGGGGATGCATGATTCTAAACAAAGAAAACAGAGAATCATTAGTACCAACACGCAAAAGAAGCATGAAAGTCAAGGGAAAAAAACCTAATGCTCTGATACCAAGCTGTCACATCCCGGGATCGGCTCCGCCGTAGCACGATATTGTCCGCTTTGGGCCCCCCTCTCTGCCCTCATGGTTTTGTTTTTGGGAGCTCACGAGCAACTTCCCAGTGGGTCACCCATCCTGGGATTGCTCTAGCCCCCAACTCACTTAACTTCGGAGTTCCCATGACTCCGAAGCCAGTGAGCTCCCAAAAGGCCTCGTGCTAGATGAATGCGGGCATGTACATATAAGGCACATCAACCTCTTCTCCGTTGGTCGATGTTATGAAGCTCTTCTCAAAGGTGGTGACCAAGTCACTCGGTTTTTGCTCATCTCTCTCTCTCTCTCTCTCTCTCTCTCTCTCTCTCTCTCTCTCTCTCTCTAGATTGGTTGCTGAGAAATTGGTAGAGAAGGAAATGATGGATAATTTGGTATAAGGCTTAGTTGAGTCAAATTTTGTATTAATTTTAGTTCATTTAAATACCTATTGTAAATGTGGAATTCATATGGTTTTCATCAACTGTTTACTATCTGGAGGTTGATTGCATTTCATCTGCATATATCTCTTTTTGCTCTTTTTTTCAAAATCACGAGCCAACTGATGCTTTCGTCTGTATATATCTCTTTTTGCTCTTTGTAGAAAACGGAAAATGCAAGGCAGAAAACGGAAACTGCAATGCATTAAATGGAAACTACAATGCAGAAAAAGGAAACTGCATTGCAGAAAACGGAAATTGCATTGCAGAAAACAGAACCTGCAATGTAGAAAACGGAACGTGCAATTCAGAAAACAGAAACATGAATAACCTATTTTACATTCTAGGTGGTCTTCAGTCTGATTCCCCCTCCCCCAACATGTCTTGAATAAAAAAAATATTGTTTTGTTTAGTTTACCTCTAGAGCTGAGCATTTTTGCCCAAACTCAGCCTTGCAGTTTCCATTTTTGTATTGCAGTTTCTATTTATGCATTGCAATTTCTGCTTCTACATTGCAGTTTCCGTTTTTGCATCGCAGTTTCCATTTTAGTACTTTCATCTTGGTTCCTCCATTTTGCTTCTATAAAATTAAATTTGTTTTTGTTTTTGTTTTTGTTTTTTTAACATAATTGATATCTACATTGCATTTTTGTTGCAGTTTCTGTTTTTATTTGCAGTTTTTGTGTGAATATGTATTGAAATGGTTTTTTTTTTGTTTTAAACCGTTGATTGTTTATATAAATATTGTATAACTGAATAAATATTACAAAATCATGTTTGGTGTAGTGGTTTGTGAGTGAGCCCTCGTCCTTTGAGGGTCAAGGTTCGAGTCCCTTCAATGACACAAAATCTTTTTTTCTTAAAGGTGAATAAAGGGCAACGGAGTGGTCCCCTGCATACGGTGGCAGGCCGGCGATGGGCGGTGGTGACCGGCAATGGCGGTTGGCAAGGGGCGGCGGGTGGCCGGCGGTGGCTGTTGGCTGGATGTGGACATGTGGCATAGTATGCTTGCCTTAGAAGGAGTGGCATTGTGTGTAATTTTGATATTTTTATTTTTGTAAAATTAAGTACTACATTTTGATCTTTGGTCTTATGCTAATTAGATGAAATTGTATTCCTATCTTCCAAAATGAAAAAACTCAAGCAAAGCATAATTACCTTCATCCCCAGCCGCTTGTTGAGAGCTTCATTTCCACATATTTGCAGCATAAGCAGGCTGCATCCTGGTCCACATAGACATGACAGAAACTACCTGAAAACATGAGCTGCCAATTAGGATAGAAAACTTAATAACCAAAACCAAGTATGCTCCATCTAAAAAAATATATACATACATACATATGTACATGCATGTGTGGGGAGATGAAACGCAGGATGAAATTCGTGCATGCATGCTGGTGAAATAACACTATAAACTAACAACTAACACAATGATACCTTGCCTCCAAATCCTCTTCTGCCCATTTTTGAAGTTAAAAATTCTGCTCAGTGTTTATTTCTTATTGCCTTTTGAAGTAACAATCACAAGGAGTGCTTGAGTTCATTGGATTCTAGAGTCTTGTAACTTGTACGCCTTGTGCTCATGTGTGTTAGCCTTAGATATTGGGCTAAAACTACAAATCTTACCTTTAAAAGGTGGGGAAGGATAACAAGAAAGGTTCGGATATTTGTATTGCATGTTGCTGTTAGTAGTACTCATCTATGGAAACCTGAAAACATGAGCTGCCAATTAGGATAGAAAACTTAATAACCAAAACCAAGTATGCTCCATCTAAAAAAACATATACATACATACATATATATATGCATGTGTGGGGAGATGAAACGCAGGATGAAATTCGTGCATGCATGCTGGTGAAATAACAATATAAACTAACAACCGACACAATGATACCTTGCCTCCAAATCCTCTTCTGCCCATTTTTGAAGTTAAAAATTCTGCTCAGTGTTTATTTCTTATTGCCTTTTGAAGTAACAATCACAAGGAGTGCTTGAGTTCATTGGATTCTAGAGTCTTGTAACTTGTACGCCTTGTGCTCATGTGTGTTAGCCTTAGATATTGGGCTAAAACTACAAATCTTACCTTTAAAAGGTGGGGAAGGATAACAAGAAAGGTTCGGATATTTGTATTGCATGTTGCTGTTAGTAGTACTCATCTATGGAATGACAGGGAAGAGATGGCCTGTGATGAAGCTGAGCTTGGAGCAGATGAATTTGCGGAAAGGATGCATAGTCAAGAAAAATTACAGGAGCAGGTAATATATGTTCAAATATAACAACTATAATGGTAAAGGTGGATGTTTCTAAAGCACCAGAAGTAAATATTTTTCAACAACTGGAGATGCTAAAGCACATGTAGAAATTTCCCCTGGATGATCAATCTGCAATCCTAGCTACCACTCTAATACATTCATAAACGAACTCAAAACACAACAAAGCAGCCACAGTTCAAATCTCAAAACAACACCACCGAAATTAAACAAAAAATTCTCAAGAAAAGCCCATTTCCAAGTAATTCAATCGCATAACCTAAAAATCAGACCTCATCAGATTCAAAAACAGCACAATAATTAGCATAGGTTCTGAATTACTGCAGGAGACGAAGATCTATACAGTGTTTGACAGCTCGCTGTATAATCAACTTAAATCAGTTAAATCCATCATGCAATGCATTTCCTTCTAATTTTTTGTGATAAACTAATAGATAATTGACTAAATAAACATTCTCCAAAGTTTTTCAATAAAAATTTCCAAGTTTTTCTTACAATTTTCGTGGTTTTTATTCAATTTTTATCGATAATATCCCTATATTTTCATCGAAATTTCCCTGTTTTTGGACTACCGATATTTCCGATATCATCGATATTTTAGACCTTGGTTGCGACCTCGTGCTCTCCGTTTGGGATGAATCCAAAGTTGGGGCGTGATCTGGCTCCAGTATAAAATACAAAGGGTAAAAATGTTATTTCAAATACAAATTAAACAAGCTTAAAGAGCACATGGGTAAGGCCATTGGCTTTTAACAAAATAAAATTTAAAACTCATCCACCATATCCAAAACAAAAATAGGTAATGTATCATATGCTAATTACTAAAGTTTTTTGTCACTATACACTAATTTTTCTTTGAAGGGTAATAAGATTCAAAACCTACCAATATTATAGCATATCCTGCATTCGTTGAATTTACATCCAACGGTGAGTGACCACAAATCTCTTGGACCCCTGTGGTCCAAGAGATCGGGACTGATGTATCATATGCTAATTACTAAAGTTTTTTTATCACTATACACTAATTTTTCTAAGAAAAAAAGGCATGGCCATCTAGGCCCATGTTCGGCGCTGCCCGCCTAGGCTTGGCCTAGTGGGTGGGTCTGGGCTTAGACATTTAAAATCTTGGCTAGGCTCGACTCAGGCTGAAAAGACAAAATTGAGTTAGTGACTTGGGCCTTACATGTTGAGTGGCCCAAAGACGAACCCTAGACGAGATGATGGTTAGAGCTGGGTGTGGGCAACCAGGGAAATGCTTGATGTTGCGGGGAGGGTTCCTATCTAAATCTATCTACTAGTAGTATTAGAATTTCCTATTTCGTTTATGAGAGGGTCTAGTTGTATTGCCGCTAAAACATTTAAAAAAGAAGCAATTTATTTATCATATGCCAGAGATGCGGACTCCAAACTTACAAAAATATGTTTACGAAAAGTTATAAAGCAGAGAAATCAGCACAGCTTTAATTCCACAATCACAATACAAACCAAAAAGATATTAGATTCTGTTGACAGAAATTTGTTTACCTTTCGCATGTGATACATAAGAAGCTCCATCAATATAACATATAGCTAGCTTACCAGCCAATATTAGTATCAACAAGAACGACAGGTTTTATTGACATAAATTCGAACTTTTTTTATTTTATGAAAACATAATATCTTCCTAACAACCTCCACCTCCAAAACCGCCACCTCCAAAACTGCTACCTCCACCGCCACCAGCTGCTGCTGCTGCTACTACTGCATCATGGTTTGCAGCTGCTGCTGCTGCAGCTGCTGCTGCTGCTGTTGCTGCTGCTGTTGCTGCAGCTGCTGCTGCACCATGGTGTGCAGCTGCTGCTGCTGCACCGCTGC